TAGCGTGCATATTCATTACCATGATATATCGCATTACCGAATACCTGCACAAGTCTAATTCTAATGTATGAGGAAAAAAACAAAATTTAAAGCTGTATTACACTTTTATTTTTCTGATGCTTAAAATCCTCTTTTTGTCTTTGACCCATATGTTGTTGTTTTTTTTTCATTTTATATATTGAAAATATTGTTCATTACTTATTATATTATTGTCACGAATCCTGTCCATGAACTTCCGTCTGCTTGCCACCAGAGGTCACCCTCCCTTTATATTGACTCTCACACCACACAGACTGTTACACATCACCCTGGACTACATTTCCCATGCTCCATTGCACTAATCACAAGCTCACCTGAAACCAATCACACACAGCTCAAGTCAAGTCATCACTGATCATCATGAGGCAAGTCAAGTCACAGTTGATCGTCATGAGTCAAGTCAAGTCATTGCTGATCGTGAGTCAAATCACATCACAGCTGATCATCCAGAGTCACGTCACATCATAGTTGGTCATCCAGAGTCACGTCACATCACAGCTGATCGTCATGAGTCAAGTCAAGTCAAGTCACAGCTGATCATCATGAGTCAAGCCAAGTCACAGCTGATCTTCCAGAGTCATGTCACGTCTCAGCTGTTCGTCCAGTCACGTCACGTCACAGCTGATCTTCTAGAGTCTCTCCACGTCTCCGCTGTTCATCCAGAGTCTGGTCATATCTCAGCAGTTCGTCCAGAGTCACGTCACCGCTGATCTCCCAGTCGCAGCTGGTATCCCCAAATCCATTCACTCTAGATCTCCTGTGCCTGATCCGATTCCCCTGTCTGTAGCGCTTACCATAATGGGGATCGCGTTATGGAGTGTTTGGGCTGCATACACCACCACTGAGACTCTTGAAACAGCAGCGCCTACTATGATGTTTCCAGAGGTGGCGGCTGATGCTGCAGAACCTCCCAAAGTAGTGGAGTTCGCTGCTGTTTCCCCAGAGGCAATGGCGCCTGCTGCAGCTTCTCCAGAGGTGGCGGCGTGTGCTGCAGAACCTCCCGAGGCGTCACAGCCCAAGAACCCACCTCTGTACTCTTAACCCTGCCCGTCATGAGCCTAGAAACTAAGAACGCACACCATGTCTGCCCTGTTAACCCTGTCACTGCCAAATCCAGTTCCTGTCACGAATCCTGTCCATGAACTTCCGTCTGCTTGCCACCAGAGGTCGCCCTCCCTTTATATTGACTCTCACACCACACAGACTGTTACACATCACCCTGGACTACATTTCCCATGCTCCATTGCACTAATCACAAGCTCACCTGAAACCAATCACACACAGCTGCTACCAATAACACACTATATAAATCAGTCTCACACCACCATTCAACGCCGAGTATTGTTCAGCATTTATCGCTCACCTAGGGATAGCTACTTTACGGAGCCCTTCCAAGTTCACGAGTCTAGCCTTGTTCATAGTCTGTTTTCCCGTGTCTTGATCCTAGCCTGTTATCTCGTGCTGTCTGTTTTCTGCCTGTTTATAGCCTGTCTTGGATTTACCCTTTGCCTTGCTGATTCGGACTGTGTTTGCACCTCGATTGGATTATTGCTTGTTTTGGATTCCTTTTTTGTCTTGCCCTCTACATATCTGTTTGCTGGTGTCCGACTCTTGCCTGTGTTGACCCTGCCTGTAAATAAAAGCTTGCAT